GGTGTGACTAAGGGGTGGTCAGGAAGGAATTCCTTAGAGGAAGGATCATTGAATTGGCCAGGTACAGGAACTCAGATGGGAACAAGGCAGGGAGACAGGAGAGGTAGTTAATTATTTATTACCATTACTTTTCATGAAGTTAGCAACTGTTGTAGCTTCCGTAAGAATGAACATCTGCTCTCATCCTTTGCCGTTGCCGTAGGCTTTATGAATAAGACATAGGCTCCTTTAATGCAGATTCCACAGTTCCAGTTCTCCTTACTGATCAGTGATTATTTTGAAATCTCTATTGGGAGCATGGAAGAAGTTTGTAGTCTCATTTATTTATTTCTGTGAAACTGGATTAAACCCATGGCATTTACACTGAGCTACATCCCCACCCCTTTTTAAATTTTTATTTTGGGACAGGATCTCATTAAGTTCCGAAGGCTGAGCTCCTCCTGCCTTAGCCTCTCAGAGTGCTGGGATTATAGGCGTGCACCACCACGCCTGGCGAAAAGTTTGTATTCTTGGTGGGAAGTCAGGAGATACACAAGAGAAGATAATTAACAATGTACACAGAGTGAAACGGATGGTGTGTTTCTGACCTTTAGAGAAGGGTATAGGAGTGATTATAGAAGACCACAGCAGTAGTGAGGCTTGAATTGAAGGAAGAGAGACTCAGAAAAGCAAAGAAAGGCACTGGGCATTTCCAGTAGTGGGTAAAGGAGAGAGCAAAGGCAAAGAAGTAGGAATTCTGAATTGCAGCTGGGGATGGGTGTACTGTTTCCTGTGGGCCTAGACAGGGCCCCTGTGTGGCTCATTCCTGAGTAATGTGATAGAAAGTGGCAGAGGCCTTGGGCAATTTCTTGAATAGCAGACTGAGGGATTGAGACTATCCTCTGAACAGAGATGGCTTGTGAGGAACACTGTGTTAGAATTGTTCCTGCACCTGCCTTAAAGCTAGGCACTGAGACCTGAGACCAGTGGTTGAATCATTTAGTTCATTTTGTGCTTCTGTGAAGCACATGGGAAGGGCAAGCAGTGAGGGGTGAGCGGGCACCTAAGACTGTGCAAGGTCATATTGGGGTTGGACCAAAGCGATAAGGAGTATGAAGGGGGTGGTTGGTTCTCCTGGCTGTCTGCCTTCCCTCCCTCCCTCCTTCCTCCCTTCCCCCTCCCTCCCTCGCTTCCTTCTTTCCGACAGGTCTTACTTTGTAGCCTAGGCTGGTCTTGAATTTGTGATCCTTCTGCCTCAGCCTCACTGGTGTTGGGATTACAGGATTATGTTCCTAGACCCTCCACTTCTTCTAGGACTTTCTCCCTCTGAATCTGCTCAAAAACTAACCTGCGGTGATGGCACATACCTGTAATCCCAGCACTCAAGAAGCTGAGGCAGGAGGATCACCACAAGTTCGAGGCCAGTCTGGACTATATAGTGAGACCCTATTGAGAGGGAGGGAGAGAGAGACAGAGACAGGGAGGGAGAGGGGAAGGGGGAGAGGGAGAGGGGAGAGAGAGATCAACCCTGAAAGCTGCTTATACAGCTGCTTGCCATCCCTAGGCTCTTTCTCCACTTCCCCTTCCATTTTTTTGCTTTAATCCAGACTTCTGCCCCCAGCATGCCTTTGGAGCTAGTCTTGCTTAGTCATTAGTGAATTCCTGGCTGCTGATTGAGTTGTTTTCCAAGCCCTTATCTTCCTTGTTTTCTGTGACATTTGACATTTTGAGACCGTTTTCTTTTGGCTTCTGTAGCCTTTTTCTTTGCCTCCTTTCCCAGCCCTTTCTCCCACTCCCATCAAGTGCTTGTCTTTTACCAGTCACTATGTCACTGTTGGTGATTGTCAAGGTCTCTTCTTTGTCCTCTTATAAGGGCTGTTATTTTGTTGGGTACTTACTGTGTGCCAGTGACAATATTAAAATGCCTCACACAGATTATTCTTTTTTTTTTTTTTTTTTTTTTTTCTGGTACCGGGAATCAAACTCACTACCTCATGCTTGCCAGGCAGGTGCTATGCCGCTGAGCTAAATCCCCAGCCCACAACATACTATTCTTAAATTTGGCAACAACCTCCAAAAGGTAGACTTTTGCTTCTTCCTTGGTATATAGAGAAATCAAGGCTTAGTGAGTTTAATTTTCCTAAGGTTACACAGTAAATGGCAGAGCTGGGACTTACATCTGAGCCTGGCTTATTATACAGGTAAAGTCAGCCGTTGCCTGTGGACCCAGGGCTCCATCCGGAGACTCTCTTTAGCTTCCAGCCTGTGTGTCCCTGTGTACTTCACACTGGCTGTTTCTGCCTCACCCAACTCCTCCTGCCAGTCCAGCGCCATACTGGCAGCTGTGATCCAGACCCTAGACTTGGGCTTGGTCTCAGCTGTGCCTCTCCTTCCCTCCCACTCCATGTGCAGCTGTCCCTTCAGCCAGGCCTTGCCACCGCTCTTAATCTCTCTGGTAGTCACCTCTCAGGATGGCCACAATCTCTTCCTCGGCCGGGCTCTTCTCATCTCTCTCCTGAACTGTTGCTGCTTTTCTCCTCTGCTCTCTCACCCCGTCCTTCCTGCACAGTGCAGTCAGGGTGGTCTCCTAGGCTCAGTTCTGATTGTGGTGCTCTCTGGGTTAAGACCCGGCAGTGTTTCTTGACAGTGTAATCCTGGGGCTGAGCCTCATTTTCCTCACCCCGCTCTCCAGCCTCCGCAAGTCTCTTCACTTCCATGTGCTTCGAGCGCTTGTGCTTCACTAGACCAGCACACTCGTTGGGCTCCGCGCATGTGCCGTGTTCTTCCCTCTTTCGGGAATACTCTTTCTTCCTTCTTTGTCTGAGGAACATCATCACAGCTCATCCTAGAAATAAACGATTAAAAAAACCATCATTTCAGAGTGATACCTTGGTTTCTAGGCATTCAGTTATTCCCAGTCTTTCTTATTTTTTTAAAATTTATTTTGGTACCGGGAATCGAACTCAGAACCTTGCACTTGCCAGGCAGGCGCTTATGCCACTGAGCTATATCCCCGGCCCTCCAGTCTTTTTTAGAGGGGCTAGAAATTCCCTTTTTACGTCCCCAAAGCTCCTTGTTTGAAACTTAGCACATTGTGTAGTAGTTTGCCCATGTCTGTGTCTTTTCAACCCGCCCACCTTAAAGGCAGATATTCCTGTCTCACGTTTTGATCTGTGGCATTGAGCATGCTGCGGGCACATGGTGCAGCAGCTGTTGAATGAGCAACAGCAGTATTCTGTAGCGCTGTCACAGTGGACTGGCTGGGCCTGGACAGAGGTTAAGGTTAAAGATTGGTGCATGAGGATGTTGGTTAAAGCTAAAGAGTATGTAATACCAGCACCTTGATATGTATAGTGTCAAATAAATTATAAAGTACTTTCACAAATATTTTATCTCTCTCTCTCACTCTCTTTTTTTTTTTTTTTTAAACAGGGTCTCACTGTGTAGTGCAGGGTGGCCTTGAACTTGGTTATATAGCCCAGGCTGGTCTTGAGCTCATGGTGACCTTCCAGCCTCAGCCTTCTGAGTGCTGGGATTATGGTGTGCACCACCATACCTAGCATTTTTGTCTCATTTTGTTTTACTCTAAACCACTGTGAGCCAGACACAGGGACACAGGCTTATAGTCCCAACTATTTGAGAGGCCAAAGGAGCGAGATAGTAAGTTTGAGTCTATCTTGGGCAGTGTAGTGAGTACCTGTCTCAAAATAAAAATGAAAGGTCAGGGCTGAGCATGGTGGTACACGCCTGTGATCCCAGCATTCGGATGCCAAGGCTGGAGGAGTACCATCTTCAAGGCCAGCCTGTACTATATAGCTAGAGCCTGACACTCCCCAGCCCCACAAAAAAATCCAGGTATGGTGGTACATGCCTATAATCCCAGCACACTGGGAGGCTGAGGCAGGAGGATTACAAATTCAAGCTCAGCCTGGGGAACTTAGTGACTTAGACCTGTCTCAAAGTAAAAAATGAAAGACAGGATGGCAGTATAGCTCAGTGTAAAGGCCCTGGGTTAAATCCCTAAGACTGCAAAATAAGTAAATACATACAAACATACATTAAAAATACATAGTAAAACAATAAAAAGAGCTGAGGATGTATAGCTCTGTGCCCCTTGGGCTCAATCCCTAGTCCTGCAAGAAAACAGAACAAAATAAAAACAAGAACAAAATACACACATACACACCTGTAATACCATTACTTGGGAGGCTGAGGCAGGAGGATCACAGCGATTTCAAGACCAGCCTGGGCTATGAAGTGAGTTCAAGACCAGCCTGAACTGCACAGTGAAACCCTGTCTCAAAAAGACAAAAAAAAGGGGGCTGGGGATTTAGCTCAGCGGCAAAAGCGCCTGCCTGGCAAGCGCAAGGTCGTGAGTTCTGTTCCCGGTACCGGAGAAAAACCAAAAAAAAAAAAAAAAAAGACAAAAAAAAGAAAATGCGAATAATTCTAGCACTGGGACAGGTTGAGACTGGAAGAATACAAATTTGAGTCAAGCATGGGCAATCTGCCAGGTGGCGGTGCACACCTACAATCCCAGCATTCAGGAGGCTGAGGCAGGAGGATTGGTATGAGTTTGAGGCCAGCCTAGGCTACATAGTGAGTTTGAGGCCAGCCTGAATGACATAGTAAGACCCTGTCTCAAAAAAACCAAAGGGGGGGGGCATTTATTGAGATCCTGTCCCAGAATAAAAAATGGAAAAGAGCCAGGCGAATGATGCATGCCTATAATCTCCGCACTCCAGGAGGCAGAGGCAGGAAGATCGCAAGTTTGAGCCCATCTTGGGTGACCCAGTCAGTGTCTGAAAATAAATGGGCTGGGGATATAGCTCACTGTGAAGGCCCTGAGTTCACCCCCCAGGACTGCACATGTGTACAGCTGGGGATGTAGTCCAGTGGTAGAGCACTGTAGGTTCGATCCCTAGCATGACAAAACCAAGCAACTGACTTACTTGTATTGTCTGCATCTCCTGAGAACTGAGCTCTTTTTTCCTATTGATGACATTTCCTCTGTCTGCCAGGTAAAGCGGTACCAGTGCACCTTTGAGGGCTGTCCCCGAACCTACAGCACAGCAGGCAACCTGCGCACCCACCAGAAGACTCACCGAGGAGAGTACACCTTCGTCTGTAACCAGGAGGGCTGTGGCAAGGCCTTCCTCACCTCTTACAGCCTCAGGATCCATGTGCGAGTGCACACGAAAGAGAAGCCATTTGAGTGTGATGTGCAGGGCTGTGAGAAGGCGTTCAACACGCTGTACAGGTCAGCCTCTTCTCCACTGTGCCGTCAGCCCCTGACTCTGATGGTGCTGGATGCCAGAGCTCTCTCTCCTTGAGCAGGAGAGGTGTTCACTTCCAGGGCTTTGAAATTCATGAGCACAGCTCGTTACTTAGAGATGGATATGTCTGAGGTTATGGATATGTCTGAGGTGCGGCTGAAGATGATAATGCATCCGTGTTTAGTTTTACATCTTGTGGAGTGATGTACAGGTAGAGTAGCTGAGGTAGAGTAATGTATCCCCTTGGCACAGGATCTTTATATTAAGGATTCTGTAATTTTCTTTTTTACCTCACCTGCTGTAACTTTTTTCTACCCTGAGAAATGAGGAGATGGGGGGCTGGGGATTTAGCTCAGCGGCACAGCACCTGCCTGGCAAGTGTGAGGTCATGAGTTCGATTCCTGGTACTGGAAAAAAAAAAAAAAAAAGGGAAAAAAAAAAAAAAAAAAAAGAAGAGATGGAGCCGGGTGTGGTGGTGCACACCTGTAATCCCACCAGTTGAGAGGCTGAGGCAGGAGGATTGCTGTGAGTTGTAGGCTAGCCCAGGCTACATAGTGAGTTTAAGACTAGCCTGAATTACAGAGAGATACCCCATCTCAAAAAGAAAAAAGAAAAAAAAAATGCTTGGAGAGATGTAGCTAAGCAATGCAGTGCCTGCCTGGCAAGCACGAGGTCCTGAGTTTGATTCCTGGTAGCTGCCCCATCCCCACAAAAAAAAAAAAAAAAGAAATGAGCCAATTGTGGTGGCACATGCATGTAATCCCAGCACTTGGGAGACTGGGAATCCCAGCACTTGGGAGGCAGAAGGATCATCATGAGTTTGAGGCCAGCCTGAGCTCCATAGTGAGTTCAAGGCCAGTCTGAACTACATAGTGAGACCTTGCCAAAAAAAAAAAAGAAAGAAAGAAAGGAGCTGCCCACTTAATGGCTTTTCTCTTTTCCACATTTGTATTAGGGGACTTGCATTAGTCTCCAATATTTGGGATAAAATAACAGAAGTGACAACACTTAGAAAGTACATACTGCGTGTGTGGTCTCATGACAGCTGAGAAGTGGTGAACTCAGAGAGGCTCTGGGACTGGCTCAGGGTCCTATCCAGTAGGATGTGGCACCTGGACTCGAGTCGCATTCAGGCCGTCTGTGGAGTGCTACTCACAGCTACTTGCCTTTTTGAGTTGCTGCTTGGGTGAAGCATGTTGTGTACCTACACTGAGGGTGCAGAATTCCTGCATACTTGATCCCGGGGCACATGAAGCAGGCACGGGGAGGCTCCATAGTTCATTGTCCCACTGGGCATTTCTCTGGGATATTTTTCAGACTGAAAGCACATCAGAGGCTTCACACAGGGAAGACGTTTAACTGTGAATCTGAAGGCTGCAGCAAATACTTCACCACACTCAGTGATCTGAGGAAGCACATTCGAACCCACACAGGAGAAAAGCCATTTCGGTAGGTCGTGCTGTTTTCTATTTGTTCCCTGTCAGTTTTCAGTTGGGTGTGTTGATGTTCTCCAGGCACTCCTCATCTGCGCTGTGACCAGCTGCTTCAGGTGAGAGTAATGCGGTAGGCTCCAGGGCCATCCTCCCTCTGTAGATGATGGCTTTTCGGCCTCATCCCTCACTTTTTTTTTTGGTATTAGTGGGAATTGAACCTAGCACCTTCACACTAGCTATGTACCCAGCTCTTGTTTTTAAAATTTTACTTTGAGACATGGTCTCGCTCAGTTGCTCATGCTGACTTTGATATTGAGAGCCTCCTGCCTTAGCGTCCTGGTTGCTGGGGTTATGGGCATGTTCCATCACCCCTGGGATTTTCCTTTTATTTTCAAGAAATATTTGTTGAAACTCAAAAATGTGGTAGGCACTTATAATAGTGCTAGGGAAATCCTAAGAAGCAGACTGTCCTCAAGAACTTTGATCTGGTGGAAAAGAATTACAAGTAAGCAGGCAGCATCTGAGGCTCTGAGATTCGGTGAGCACCGGGAGGGTCACTTACTGAAGAAGCGATGAAGGTCGGGAGGGAGAGATGTGGGAGAAGTGAGGGATGGGATCTCTTAGGCGACTGGTACGGGTATTGCGGTTTGTTACTTGTCTATTTGTTGCTTTATAGTGTCTCAGTGTGTGTACACAAACATACAGGATGGGACATTTTATGTGTATATCAACGTATATATATATTTCATGTGTGTGCTTGAAGGAGAAACTTGTATCATCTGCTTTCCTCTCTGGTCATAGGATGTTCAAGACATTCAAGTAGGTGTTCAGAAACAGCTTTGGGATGATTATGGACATTTTCTCTGAGATAATCTGTTTGTAAGGATTTCCCTAGATGTAATATAAATAGATTGCAGAAGATTGCCCATAAATAATGTCTTTGACTTTGGCAGGAGTTATTGCTATTGTGTTCATGGCATTAAATATGGTGCCTCTCTGTTCTCAAATGACTGATTAGCATACTTAGAAGCAATTTAAAAGTCTTCAGGCACAGTTAGCTTGTAGATGCCAATTAAATGAAATTAAGTTTTTAAGTTACAGATATGTTCCTGAGTTAGGGCAAGAATAGGGAGAGGCTAGTTGGTTCCTGTGTGATGCTCTGAAGCTTGGGTTATTTTCCCATAGGCTGCAAAGGGCCTCTGATTTCTGTCTAAGCACACATTTCTTTTTTTTTTTTTTTGATGATTAAAACTGCTGTTTTTTTCTTGAATATTAAATGGGACCTTAGATATTACAATAATATGTAATTAAAATGCTTTCTTTCTTTCTTTCTTTTTTTTTTTTTTTTTTGTCTTTTTGAGACAAGGTCTCACTATACAGTTCAGGCTAGCTTTGAGCTCACTCTGTAGCCCAGGCTGGTCTCGAACTTGCAACAATCCCGCTGCCTCAGTCTCCTGAGTGCTGGGATTACAGGCGTGTGCCACCACACCCGGCTAAAATACTTTCTATTTAAAGAAATTATATTGTGATTTGTACTAAAATGGATATGTTCACATGTATAGGTATTGAACATCTGCTATGGGAAGAGCTGAGCAGTTGTGAAAGGCAGTGTGGACCCTGCTACCCTCTTAAGTTTATGGTCTAGGAGAACAGATAACACAAAGATAAACGAAGGTTGGAAGTGAGAGCTGCTGTAAAAAGACTCCCGCAGCTGTGCACCTAGTTTTGAGGAGAGAAAGATTACTTCTAGCTTTGGTTATGGAGAAGTAAGGGAGGAAATGGAGACCTAGACACTGAGGGTTACAGCTGTTATAGCTGATCTGTTCTGATGATTACATTGGAAGATTATAGCTCAAGCCCCATGCATACGTGAGAGCCTCTTCAGCTGCTCTTGGTATCTGTAGCATTTCACTGGCTGTAGATGTTCCATGTGGACTGTCACTGTCAATGGAGCTCTGTTAAACAGTCAGAAGGCTTTTGTCAGCAGGGCTGTGCACACGCCCTCCCTGCGGCAGATGGACTAACCCCAAGCCCTCGGCTCCTTCAGCTCCCAGACATGCCACCCTGCCTTGCTTCTTCAAGAACTGCTCCAGCCAGGTGTAGTGCCACACGCCTGTAATCCTAGCACTTGGGAGGCTGAGGCGGGAGGATCATTGCTAGTTCAAGACCAGCCTGGCTACAAAGTGAGCTCAAGGCCAGCCTGAACTGCATAGTGAGACCCTGTCTCAAAAAGACAAAAAAAAACAAACCAAAACAAAACAAAAAAAGTCCTCATTCCCGTCTCTGAAACCAGTGTTGCCGATCTGATCTTGAGTTCTAAACGTTTGGTATAGTTTGAGAAATATATAGGTGATGTGGAGGGTGGAAAATCTCTTAGCTAATGACTCCCGTTTCTCTTTGCTTAAACACCTTATTTAGCTGTGATCACGATGGCTGTGGAAAAGCGTTTGCAGCGAGCCACCACCTTAAAACTCACGTCCGCACACATACTGGTGAGTTCAGGCCGATATTTGTTCTTCCTTTTAACCTTTGTCAACCCTATACCTGTGTTTCCACCAAGAACTGCCGAACTAGGTGGAGAGGCTGAGCCTAATCAGCTTAGCCTTCACCTATAATGTTTGAGTTATATTTTATTGATTTCAGAGATGAAAGGATCTAAATGTTGGATTTAGAAATCTAATTAAGAAATGAAAGCAGTCCGGAAATACTCTTTAAAAAAAAAAAAAACCCCTGAGAAACTCAGTTTTCTCCTTAAACTTCACAGGACTGGGCATTCCCAGTGCTTTGTACCATATGAAATTGCAGGCCTGAGATAATTAATGTGTAGTTTATTCAGCTTTTTAACAACTGCTACTTGAACCTTCATAAAAATGTTTACTTCACTTTCTTAAGGAAAGATAGATTTCTTAATCCAGTGAAATGATTTTATGGTGAAATTAACACTACTTTGTCATTCTTACAGGTGAAAGACCCTTCTTCTGCCCCAGCAATGGCTGTGAGAAAACATTCAGCACTCAGTACAGTCTCAAAAGTCACATGAAAGGTCACGATAACAAGGGACACTCGTATAATGCACTTCCACAACACAATGGATCAGAGGTGTGCAGTGTTTGTATCTCTTGTTTTGATCAGGGTGCCATAGAACAGTGGTTGTTTGTGTCTTGTAAGAAAGGTTAAATGTCTTCACTATATCCCCACTGGAGGGAAAGATCAGGGTCAAGATCCCTGTCTTTGCATGAGAGTAGCAGAAGCCAGAAATTTCACTGGACTCCCTGTGCTAAAGCCTGTACTTCAGCTCTTCCTCATTTCCATCAGGAACAGAGGAGATGCTCTAGAATGTAAAGGTCTCAGAAATGGCTTTCAGGGGCTGGGTGTGGTGGCATACACCTGTAATCCCAGCACTTGAGAGGCTGAGGCAAGAGGATTGCAGCAAGTGAGACCAGCCAATCTGAATTATATAGCGAGACCATGTCTCCAAAAAAGTTTTCCAAGGATCAGCTAGATACTCTTAAGAGTGTCGGGATCATTTACCCCAGTCATGCCTATAAGTGACAAATCTGTACTTGAATTTGGGACACAAATTAATGTTGTTTCACATATCCATTAACCTGTCATTGGAGAGGCAAGCAAAGTTTGAAGGGTCCTTTTTTTGTGTGTGTGGCAGCACTGGTGTTTGAACCCAGGGTCTTCACATGAGCTATATCTCCAGCCTTGTGTTTTTTGTTTTGTTTTGTTTTGTTGTTCTCCCTCTCTCTCTCTCTCTCTCTTTTTTTTTTTTTTTTTAAACAGTCTTGCTAAGTCACAAAATTGCCCCAGGTTGGGCTCAAACTTTCGATCCTCTTGCCTCAGTCTCCTAGAGTGCTGGGATTATGGGCATGTGCCACGATGCTTAAGTTGGTCCATGTTCTTTTCTTTTTTTTTTTTTTTTTTTTGCGGTAACGGGGATTGAACTCACGACCTCGCACTTGCCAAGCAGGCGCTTACACCACTGAGCTATATCCCCAGCCCGTGTTCTTTTGAACTGTCTCTAAACCGGAAAGTCTGAGAGCCACTGGCTGAAGATACTGAGCCACAGAATAAGCCTCTGTGGAGCTGTAGCCAGTGTTGTTCTTTCCCTGCCCCCTCCACATTCCTGATCCCCTACCGCTCCATTCCAGAGAGACCCTGGGGTCAATTTACTATTGTTACTTCTGATGTGGTACTGTGCCCTGGAAAGTGAGAGTGACTGTATTATTATCCTACTGCTTTATGGATAAGGAAGCTGAAGCTGATGCAGCAAAATGGGTTAGCTCTGTTCAGAATATATCCAGAATCTGATCACTTTCTCTGGTGACTGTGTTCAACCCACTGTCATCTTTTTGCTTGGATTATTGCCATAACAGGCCAAGTGAGCTTCTTAGCACCTCTCCCTCCTCCATCCTTTCTCCCCCAGCTCTGCTCCTAGTCATCTCTGGATGGATCCCTGTTACTCTCCAATAAATACGGAGAACTTCCTTTGGGGTCAGGGCTCACATGCCCTTGATGTTTGTTGCCTTTGAGTCCACAGTGATCTCTCTAGCCTGGATCTCCCCTAGAATTGTAGAGTTGCATATTCACTTATCCCCTTTAGAATATTGAAATTTTTTATTGTATATATAT